CCCCACCCCACCCCCCCAGGGGGGGGGGGGCAGGCCAGGAGTGAGTGCCCGTGGAGTGGGTGGCTTGAGCTGGCCGACCAAGGGAACCACATTCCCCACTTCCTAGGATGATCTCAGTATGTCCTCTGTGTTGGGGAGTCATGACCCAGGATGCTTAAGAGTCCAGAAGCCTCTCCATACACTAGGCATGTCCTGCCAGGTAGGAGCCTCCATGGGCCATGTGAGGTTATCTCATGGGCTGCCAGGCCTAGCTGAGACAGAGTGAGAGCCACCCTGCTGAGGAACTGCAGTGACACCCAAACCACCAGCCTGTGAGACATTGCGGCGAAGGTCAGCTCTGTGGCCCAGATGAAGCAGGACTAACTGAATGTCTGTTCTCAAAGAGAGGGGCAAACAACCCATAACAGAGGTCACAAATGTGCCCTCTAGAGACAACTTAACATTGGGCCCTGTGGCCACAGGCAGGCCTGAGTCAGTCACCTCAGCCTGTCCATCCAAACAGCAGCCTGGTCATCGCCATCATCTGCCCTTGAGGCAGTGCTGCAACCCTCTGCAGGCCTGTGTGAGCCCAGAGTGGGCCTAGGGCATGTCACCCCCACAGCAGGCTAACAGAGGCCTTCCTCAGGTGGTTCTCTGTGCCTTTCAGAAAACATTTTCACTGGGTGGCAGCAGGCATTGGGCCGGCACTGGTGATTGGCTGGCTGGCTGGCTGGCTGGCTGGCTGGCTGGCTGGCTGGCTGGGCCAACGTCTGATTCGGTCTTTCTTTTTCAGGAACCTGGGCAAATCTGGCCTTCGGGTCTCCTGCCTGGGGCTTGGTAAGTACAGGAACCCCTCATGAACAGGGATATGGGGCCTTCAAGCAAGCTGGCTCCACCCTTCATGGAGAGCTACACTTGAGAGCCTGTGATTCCGGGAGATTAGGTTGCCACGGTAACCAGGGGTTGGGAAAGAAGGAAGGGACAGAACTACAGCCTTAGCCTTAGCCCAGAGAGGCCAGGAGAACCCTGGGAGTCCCTTTGCACACAGCCCTTCACCCCTACCCAGAAGTCAGAGCAGCCCCTGACTCCCATTGGACCAGCAAGCTTTCTTTCTGGCTTCTAAGCCTCACTTCAGAGAGACCATCCCCAGGAGAGACCATCCAGTCTTGCCCTGTTCCTTTCTCCAGATGTGAGCTCAGTCCCCAGAACCCACTGTCTTCCACCTTCAAGGCAAACACACTTTTACCCACACCTAACAAACCCTCTCCAAGCAGAGCCTGTCATCAGGGAAGCACCCTCATCCTACTCTTTGGGAGAGCACCACACCAGCCCTGGCCTCAGAGGATGTCACACTGGCCTCACACTCAGTACAGTCCTCCTATCTCAGCCTTCCAGGTGCTTAGGTTACAGACGTGAGCCTCCACACCTGGCTCCAAGTGGACATTTCAGAGGCCACAGCCATCCTCGGCTTACCCAGCCCTCTCTCCTACAGACTCACCCTGGAGGCCAGGTATCCACATATACACAATATGCTCAACACAGAGCAATGAATGGCTGTCCCTGACTCCGTGCCCTACATGACAAAGTCTGAGTGCCCACAAGGCAGTTCTGGTCCACTGTCAGATGATCTAACCTGAGCCTATATGTCTCCTTCTAGGAACATGGGTGACCTTCGGGGGCCAGATCACCGATGAGGTAAGATGCAGCCCTCAGCCTCAAGGTGTATGGCTCAGTCCCCTGTATCAGCCAGGGACTGTGTATGCTGATGGACGCCACCATGGCAGCCTCTTTCCCTTTGCTTGGTTGAGGGTATTCTGCCGCAGTGGCCAGGCAGGCTAAGGGGTACTAGCCAAGAAAGATATTGCACCTGGTGGAGCTAGTCAGCTGAGACCTGTGATTTCTGAGCAAGTCTCTCGGCTCCTAGGAATCCAGGGTTCTCAGGCACACGACACAGAAGCCTCAGTTAACCCCAAGCACGGAAAGTCCATGTTTTACAAGTGACAAAGCTGCATAGGGATCTGAGCTGCGTATGCCACGTGAGTGGGCTGTCCATATGTATCTGTTAACCTGAGTGGGCTGTCAGCCCACCGTGTTCTGACCACAGGCCCCTCTCACTACTGGGAACTGCTGTCTTCTGGGGCTTATCTGCCACTGGGACACAAGGTGACACTTAGAAAGAGCCAATCTGAGTGCTGCCAGTGTCACAGGGCGTGTCAGAAGGGAGGGGATGCACTTGCAGACAGTGGAGGTCAGAGAGGGGAGCTCTCGCTCGCTTGGCATCTGTAACATCTCGGCCATTGTGTTTGCCCAATCTGCTGTAGAAAGGCTTGTGTTTAAAAATTAATGAGCGGGTCCATTTGAGACCTTGTTAGCTGCGATTGCTCAGTTTTTAGGGAAAACTTGGCTTCCATGGAGGAGATTTAAATGCAGTGTGCGGTTTCGTTCTTGATTTTTATAGCAGTAGCTGGTCATTGAACCGTTTGCCCTGTGCTCTGGGGCTGCTGGAGATAACCTGTCTCAGGGTGAGTCTGGAGCTTCCAAGGGGGAGCTCTGCTCCCCAGAGCTCAGAGTAGAAATCAGGAGCCGTGGGACGTGTGTGGTTTGTCTCCAATAAGTCACGTCCTGATACAGGAGATGGAGGAACTGTGGAGGAAGTAAAGAGAGAGAACTGCCCTGACATTAGCTACAGAGCGCGGTGTCCTTGTGGACAAGTGACTCTGTCACCAGCAGATATGTGGCACTGAGGAACACTGATGGATGAGTCTCAGATGGCAGCTCCAGCTGGCTCTGCTCCTCACCGTGTCTCAGTCACGGACAGGGTGACAAGGATAAAGATGCTGGGGTCATACCTCGATGACATCAAGCTAGAGGAGGAGAGGACTGATAGATGGCATAGTCGGGGTTCTGGGAGGACGTGGCAGACAAAAATGACTTAGTGAAGGAAGAAGAAAAATTTGTATTAGATCCCACAGTTCAGTAAAAAAAAATCAATATGCCAAATGTTAGGGGCCCCTAGCTGTGCCGGGTGACGAGGACAGAGCGTTTATTCTCTGCCTGTTTGGTAAGAGGCCGTCAGGAAGCCAAGACTGGCTATGGACTGCTTTCCACCCCACTCTGAGGACTTTACCATGTTAGGGCTGGGGAGGTAACTCAATCAATGACGTGTTCACCAGCAAGTCATAAAAAGGGGGACGTGGCAGCGTGTACTTGAAATCCCGGCACCGAGGCAGTAGACACGGAAGGATCACTGGCCAGCCAGCCTAATGGAATCTGCAGGACAATTGAGAGGTTCAAACAGGTCAAGGTGGACAGTTGACCAGTTCCCTAAGGAATGACCCCTAGCCCTATGTGTAAGTGCATACATGCACACACAGACGAACGGGCCGTTTTAATCATCTTCGGGGCGCGTAGTTCATTGGGTGTCTTCACATTGCTGTGCACACGGAACTTCTGTTCCCAAACGGAAGCTCCACGTCTCTCAGCAGTAACGCTCCCAGTCCCTGCTAACCTCCAGTCCACTTCCTGTGTCTGTGAGTCTGTGGTCTGTTTTTGTGAGTCAAGTTTCATTGACACATAGCCGCACTCACTGGTTGACACATATGTCTGCCTCTGCTACAAAGACAAAGCTGAGCACTTGACAGGTCATCTAGCCCAAGATGCTGGAGTCGTTAAGTATCTGTCCCAGTGGGGAAAGGTTTGATGGCTCCTGTGCCGTGGCATCACAGCAGCCATCCACCAGGGGCGCGGCCATACAGGCGTAAAGCACGAGAAGGTTCCAGGGAGGGTGGTGGTGGTGGCTGCACAGTAGTGTGCCATGTGCCAGTACTGTTGAACCGGTGACAACTGCCGGTGTCTGAGCACTCAGGAGGCTGAAACAAGAAGAACATGGGTTGGAGGAACGTTTGGACTACATAGTGAGACCCTGTCTCAGAAGAGTTTTCCTTTTTTGGTTTTTTGAAATAGGGTTTCTCTGTGTAGCTCTGGCTGTCCTGGAACTAACTCTGTAGACGAGGCTGGTCTCGAACTCACAGAGATCCACCTGCCTCTGCCTCCCGAGTGCTGGGACTAAAGGCGTGCGCCACCACTGCCCAGCTTCCAATAAGTATCTATCTAATGTTAAGAGAGAGGGAAGGAATGAAGCTCTCCGTGAAGCACTTTAAACGGGTTTCCAGGAGATTCCATGTGTGCTAGAGACAACAGACAGAGGAGTGCAGCCCCCTTTGTGCTGGGCAGATAGAATAGTGCAGAAATGCGTGCCTATGTAAAAAAAATGTCCCCAAAAGACAAAAATGCAAGCCATGAGCCCTCGTCTCTCAGAGGCCCTCTAGAGAGGTCACATGGCCCCTATCCAGCTGGATGCACCATGCAGTGTCCCCCTTGAGCATGGGACACACCTGGGGAAGGTCATGGTGAAAGCAATAGAGCACCGGTGAGCAGGCCACACTTGCCCATGCATTGGCATTGCAGAACAAGCCCAGCATGAGCAGCGAAGGTTCCTTGGGTAGGCGGCTCTGGGGAGGAGGCTCCCACAGCCACTCCACAGTGGGGCTGAGAGTCTCATGGCCTTCGCTGGTGTTTCTCTGATAAGACACTTGGGTAGGACCCTGGCCATGCGGTCAGCCTTTGTGATTGACCAGCCCTTTCACAGGGGTCGCCTAAGACCATGGGGAAGCACAGACTTTACATTATGGTCTGTAACAGTAGCAAAATTACAGTTCTGAAGTAGCAGTGAAGATAATGTCATGGTTGGGAGGTCGCCACAGCATGGGGAGCTGAATTAAAGGGCCACGGCAATTCGGAAGGTTGAGAACCACGGGTTCAGAGCCTCCCTGGGGCTGGAAAGACAGCACTGGCTTCAACAGCTCTGGTTGTATCATTTCAGATGGCAGAGCACCTCATGACCCTGGCATATGACAATGGCATCAACCTGTTCGATACCGCAGAGGTCTACGCTGCTGGCAAGTATGTATCTTTCTCATTAGAGAAGGTGGCACAGGACACCTTCAAGGGGCCACATCGCCGGTTCCCATCTCTCCTTCCCAGGCACTCACAATAGTGTCTACCACTCTGTCCTCTTTTTAAAACCTCTGAATTATCCCAGGAGATATTTGGATGGGACCAGACTCAGAACACTCAGGCACAGGCTGCTTTCTAAACCCCCTGTGTGCCCAGGCACCAATGTTTCCAAGACACAGTGCTGACCTAGAGCTGAGATCTGCTGTTGTCCCTGGCTATGTGGACGCACTGGTGAGCTTCAGCCAGCCCATGAGCTTGACCTGTTCATGTCCTAATGATGCCTTAGGGGCTGTAGGACAGACAGCCTTTCTGAGCTGGAGTACACAGGCGCTGGCAAACCTCAGTGCGAAGGAAGCACTTTCCATCTTGATGGTGAACTTTCCAACTCGATTATGTAAAGACTCGGTGCTCTTCAGCCAGAGCTGTTGGCTTCCGTTTTAAAGGCAAGCTGGGACCAAATCATCCAACCTCCTACATCACATTTCCAAAAGTCAGTTTTCATTGGTGAAATCATTCTCTGGCTCCCTTTCTGTCCTCCCTCCAGCCCGCTCCTGCTTGGAGCCAGCCAAGTTCCCATCAGCTGGGCTGGCTGCAGCCCTGACTTGCTGTGCGCCATGGCCACAGGGCCAGCATCTGCTTCCTGGACCTTGGCATGTTACCTGCTGCCTAGAGTGGGACCCATAGCACCAAGCATCAGGGAGCCCAGCTGGACAACTATCCAGTCCCTACGAGGGCCCGGGAGCTGACAGCTGTTCCCCCACCCCCTCAGCCTCCATCAGCAGTGCTTGTGTCTTCCCTACACCACAGTGTACCATCCCACCCCCACCCTGCCGTCTCCAAACAGAAAGCAGCTCCCAACCACAGTGAGATACTTTCCAGACAGCCGAGCTAGGCAGAACAGCCAGAGGTTGAAGAGCCTGGTGCAGATGCCCAGCCCAGAGGCATCTCGCAGTCTCCTCTTCTCTGGCCCAGCTCCTGCCTGGGCTTTGCTGCCCAGGAGAGCAAACATAGATAAATGCCACCTCCTTCATCTGAGCAAATGGCCCCTCCACAGAGCAGTGACCAAACTCTGTCACTGACTTCACTTCTGTTTAACTGGACACTCAGAGCTGGCATGCCAGGACAGCCACCCTGGACACTGGGCATCCTGGGGGCCTCTCTGGAGCCCCTTTCTAGAAGCCATGGCCTTAGGCAGAAGCTTTCTGCTCTGAATGGCATTGCTTCTGGAGCCCCCTGCCCTCTGCTCTTCAGCCAGCTGTTGTGGCTCCACAGTCCAGCCTGTAGCTAAGCCAGCCTGCTCACAAGGCAGAGACACCTTAACACTGGCAGCCAGTGTGACTGGGGAGCTGAACGCTGTGTCTTGGGGGCAGGCCAAGCTCCTCTGACCAAGGGGGCTATTAGCCATAGCTCCAGCAAGCAGTCAGCCAGAGCTGCCCCCTCACTGACCGGGGATGAGCACACACATATCTTGCTGACGGTAATTTGTGTGCTCCTCGGCGACCTGCAATATTTCTGTGCCCACGTTCATTGCTTCCAGCCAAGACTGCAAGCACGAGGCTTGTGTTAGCCGCTCAGGCAGCCTCGCTGTCGTCTTCCTCCTCTCCTGCTCTTTTTGTCTGACAAATTGGGGGACCAAGGAATGAAAGGAGGCCAGAGCTGATTGAATTTTCAGTGCGTCCTGACCATAAATGAGGGGCATTCAGAATATATGCTAAACAGCTTGCAAATTAGAGCCCATTATTTCTGAGTGGATGACTCAGGCGCTTTTATAATTGGAATGTAGCGCTGGGTTTGGATCATTTTCCGTCTGTTGTTTTTGCTCAGAAACATTTTGCTACAAGCAGAAAGTTCTTAAAAGTTAATCGGCACCACTGTGCCAAGGGAAGCTGAACAGCCAGCTTGTGACCCCAGCTGGCCCTGGCTTGAAGCAGGACCCTGAGCCATGGCAAGAACGGGCAGTGGGCTGGGTGGCTCTCTGTTGTTTAAAGAGAGAAACAAGCTGCACACAAACACGCTCACACACACACACACACATATGTGCACACACATGTGCACACACACACATATGTGCACACACATATGTGCACGCACACACATGTGCACACATACACATGCACACACATACACACACACATGTGCACGCACACACACACACATGCACACATACACACACGTGCACACACACACACACACACATGTGCACACACACACAAAGCAGACAGGCACGCACAGGCTTGGTTGGAAGCCCTGCGTCGGCCCTAGAAGGTGCATTGTCTCTGATACAGAGAGTACCTAGACCACTGCGTGCTTGCCTTTTAACGGTAAGTTCACTCGTGTAACAAGGCTGAGTCTTTTCCCCAGTGTATCTGCAGCTGGGCAAGGAAGCCAGATCTGGGGACCTTTCCTTCCCCAACAAGTATAGAGGTGCTGCTGCAGGGACCAGGCCTTTTCATCAGAAGACTAGCACTCCCACCCCTACTGCTAGTCCTGGACATTTGCCGACCTCACCCCTCCTGGAATGAGCTGCTGAGCCAAGTCCACATAGGCGTCTGGCATTCCAACCCCAGTGGTATTTTCACAGAGGGGACCCGATGGCTCATTGTCATGGTAGGGCTGGGTTTGATTTGTTTTCCATTACACGTAGATGAAATCCCCATGTCTGCCCACCCTTTTCTCTTCCCTTGCAGGGCTGAGGTGGTGTTGGGGAGCGTCATTAAGAAGAAGGGATGGAGGTAACTGCCAGGCTCTCTAACTGCCAGGCTCTCTAATCGCCAGGCTCTCTAACTGCCAGGCTCTCCGTGCTCTGTCTCCAGGGCACACAAGGAAGCCTGGGGGGGAAGGGTGGCCTGCAATGCAGGAGACGCAAATGCACCCTGGGTTTCCTGGATGGGGTAGGCAGGCATCTGCCTGGGGCAGGCCTGGACTTGGATGGCACTGCAGTGGGGACCGTGAGCATTTGGGGATTGGTCTTTGCCGGTTACCAAAGGAGTGGCCCAACAACTGCTTGTGTGATCTTTTTATTGTTTTTATCATTACATTTATTAGGGTCAGATGAAAACCTGTGGAAGTCGGTTCTCTGCCTCTACCATGTGAATTCAGGGAATAGAGCTCAGGGCTTCTAGCTTGACATCACACATCCTTATTCACTGAGCCTGCTCACCAGCCCCCCCCCCCCCCCCCCTCCAGAGACCAGCACTCACACTCACACCCCTACACAGAGACCAGCACTCACACTCACACCC